TTTACCATAAACCTTATTGTTTGAAACTTTTTTCTTTTAACATGTGTGAGTATACCATGCTGAACGTAAACCTACCTTTTTAGATGATTCATAATTTTGTGATTAGGATCATATAACAGAGCATATATTTTTGTACTTTCTGTAGCCGTAGATGTCAGCAGTATTGGAAATTGAGCTGAGCTATTACCATTCTGGAGCATATTCTGAAAACTATTTATTGCTAAATTTTTACTACGTCCCCTAATACCAATTTGTTTCTTTGTCATTTGTCTTTCTCTTAAATAAATTACAACTCATTCAAAAATATTCTGAATGATTTGTGTAGTACATTATACTGCTTCATCTGTTAGCCTCGAAGTACATTTGCATTTCGCTTTTCCTGATCGGATGTTACCTTTGTTAACATTAATGTATTGTTGTGTTTTAGTTTACTAAATTGCACACAAAGCACTAATATTTTTACCAGTTAAGAATCTATTAATTGTGCCCTAAAACAAAAGTGTTATATAATTTCCTTGTAGCAGTTGCATAATGTCCGGAAAAAAAATAATGTCAGGGTTGCTTTTGTGCGTTAGACTCGTCTGGTTTATCCAGGTTTATATTTTAGAGAAACATACCATTAGTCCCATGAGGAGAGAAATGGTTTTAATTCACCTACCATTCGTCTGTGCATCAAATGTCTAGTAAGTGCTTGATAGGTGCTGGTACTGTCCTAGCCGCTGACGTGTAGAAGTCAGTTTCCCTGTCTTCGGGGGCATCGAGTCTTCTCCTGACTCGAGATCCTGTGTTTCCAAGGAGCTGGCTGGGGTTTGCCAGATGTAAATGTAAATTCTTGGCCAGGTACGTGTGTGTCACAGAGTTCTTCCATTTCCTTGGTTAATTCGCTCCCCGAGTGCACGCTCACTTGTGGGTACTTTAGGTCACTTCTTTCTAGTCTTCGGTCTCCTTAAATCTGATGAAGTTTCGTGTTGACAGTAGGATTAATTTACCTTATGTATACCTTTCTACATCTTTCTGCATCTTTAATATTTGCTTTTAAATGGCTTCCTGGACCTTTGGGCACTATCATCTTCATATGAACTCATGATGTTTCCTCCATCATTGCAAATTATTTCATTTTGTTGTTTCATATGTTCTATCATGATATGATTCAACATTGTAATTTTTGTTCTTCAGTTACACCTCTTTTGAGGAGAAACGAATGTAACCTACTCGGCACTTTTCCAAGTGGGTGTCTTCATTGCAGATTTTAGAGAATGTAGCTTATCCCCAAAGTCAATGACATTTCAGATGCCCACCCTACCAACTGAAAAGAAGACTTTCTTTTGGCCCTTGTTAGATAGTGGTGAAGTATGGGGAGAAGAAGAAGAAGAAAAGGAGCCTCCCCTTATCTGTCTGCCTTTCTCTCTCAAATACACACACATATTTATATTTTACATGTTCACTAATTGTGGTATTCAGATTTTTGTTTTTCTCTGAGCTATATTATTAGCATCTGGTAGATTCCTGTTTCTTCTCTGCACAGTATTAATAAAGCAATAGACACATAGTAAGCCCCTAAAAAGTAGTTGATTGGATCTGTGGTAATTGATTTATAATTAAATTTATATGTGTCTTTTCCTGAGTTTTATTTATGGGATGAGAGAGACTTGATAAGGAAGACTTATCAATTCAACACAGTGGAACAGATTTAATTTAGTTGTTTTAACTTATTCCGTTGTCTTCGCTTTTCCTTTTATGTGGGTATGATTTGGAGGGGATGGAGTGGGCATTGTGGTTTTCATCTTCAAAAGATTGAAATGGTTTGAACAAAATCAGAATAGCCTTGATACTGACACATACCGAAATTTGTGACAGCAATCTCATTCTTCCCTTTCAAATTATAGTATAAAACAAAATAAAATGTAATATTAAGAAATAATAATCCAATTTGGAAAAAGTGGTATAGTCATAAAGGGAACTTATTAGAATTGAATTACTTAAATTTCTATTGTATAATGACAAAAACTACATAAGAAAAATGTATAGTATAAGATTGGAGCCACTGCTGGCTCATAAAATAAGAATTTGGATCCTAAAAAAATTATATTTCTGGCAACTGAGAAAAATCAAAGATATTGGTAGTTGAAATAAAAGTTTTCAAACATTGATATCTTAAGGCTGCTTTAAAGAGTTGTGTAGTTAATGCTTTGAGAGATTTTTGTATATTTTAAAGTACAATATACACATATCTATTAGAAAACTAATATTAGAAACTGTTTATTAGAAAGTTGTGTACTTTCTTAATTGGTCAAATCTCATAGCTTTTATATCTACTGGATCTTTAGATTGTAAGTATGAGGTTTTTGTTTTGCTTTTTTAAGAAAATGTCAAATCCAGTAAAATTCATAGTGCTCAGTGCTTCTGACTCTAGGAAATTGAGTCTTATTCTATATTATAAATCATCATAAGTAGATATTAATATGTAATAGGCGAGCATCATTTGATACCTTATTGCATTTCTACATTTTTTGTCTGCAAGATCTTGATAGTTTATCAATTCAGTTTTATATTTCTCTTTTTTTAGATCTTTACATATCATCATAAGACCCAGAAAACAGTGAAAACATCTTTTGTTGGCCAAAGACCTTTCATTCCACTTTGGCTAATACACACACACACACACACACACACACACACACACACACACACACACACACACGTGTATATATATGTATATATATACATAGGTATATACGTGTGTGTGTGTGTGTGTGTGTGTGTGGTATATATATACGTGTGTATATATATGTATATATATACATATGTATATACGTGTGTATATATATATAGTAGGTCTCCTTTCTGGGTGTTGGGAGCTGTCTTGCCGGGCAGTGGGGACCATTTCCACTTCTGGTGAACTCGTTGTCATCTGTAATGAGAGTAAAATAATTTAAACTCATGACAATTCCAAAGAGCTTTGGATGGCTGATAAACACTTCAGTTAGAATTTCTAGAAGTTCTTGGTTTAGATACAGTCTGAGTTTTTCAGCTGGTAGTCTGCCCCATGTCCCGACTTAAGCTTTTCTGTGTTAACTTGTTAAGGTAAAGTAAGATATTGTTGAAGCCATGCTCGTATGTTTCAAGTGTTGAGATTTTTAAAATAATATTCTGTGGAACCAACTCTAAAGATGTTATATGACTTTTTTTTATTAGATATCTAGGAATTTGTTCTCACTCGATGAGAGTAAAGAAATAGGATTTCTAAATGTGACATTAATGCTAGTTGTTACCTAGCAAGTCAATTTAAATCTCGTTTTTATATTCTTAACCTACAAAATGTTATAGTGGAACTACACAGATTATGTCTTGGGTTGTCTTTAGTTTTAATGTTTCCTGTGGATTTGTGTTGATTCTGTGAATATAACTTTAAGGAAGACAATGATCTATTAATCATCTGTTCTATTGCTATTTGCCTTTTTAATTTTGTTTCCGTTTACTAAAGTAATTATTTCTGTTCTCAACACTTAAAAGAAGAAATTTTCCATTGTCGTATAGATTCTATTTAGCAATAAGATGCAACATTCTCCTACCCCATTGCCATCATACATTTTTATTACTCAAGAATATTACACAAACATTTATTGAACACTTACTATGTATCAGACAGATTCTAAGCACTGGAAACAGTAATGAATGAAACATAATTCCTGTCTTCAGAGAACTTTCAGTATGGTGATTTTTGCTTTGGTGATAGTCAGTTATCCTCAGCCCTGATGATATTCCTGTGTGCTCCAGCACATTCTTACGTCTTCTTTTTGGGAGCGTTGGCCTGAGATGAGCTGACTTCCTTCTGCCCTTGCTTGGTGATTATAGTACATTTCAAGGTGCTTTTAGGGTCAGGAAAGTACACGTTGATGATCTTGTAAAGATGATATATATACCTTCTAGGGCATAAAATATTTCTTAACGACAAGAAATTAATTTTTTCATTGGTCACTACATTGTAGGACAGGCATAAATGAAAAAAGCACAGGTTGAGCTTGACACCTTTAAACAGACCTTGAAGTTAAAGAAGAACCTTTAAATCTACTGAGAACAGTTCTTGGAATAATTTAAGAGGTAGTATGGGTGTTTTGTATCCTTGAAAACTCTTTGAATGACAACTTTCTATAGTAGATCATAGTTAACTTTCCCTTACTCAGCTGTTTGTCAGAGACCACAAACTGTTTTATTCCTGAATTAAGAAGTCTCGTCCCATCACACTCTGGTTTTATATACCTTTGCCTCTGGAAGGCATTGGAGGGAAGAGGTGTCATTTCAAAAATATCATTTCTTTACTCTTCTCAGTTCACTAGGGCCAACAAGCTGGCACTTCTGTGGCTTTATATTTATATTTCAGTGTTTTCCACTAGGTAACATATCTGTTGTAGAAGAGGCAAAGATCTTATAAATTCACTTCGTTGTGTCCAAAAGATAATCCAAGAGACATGTTTGCAGGGGCATAGTTCTTCATGCTGCTTTTTTATATGCGGAAAAGAAGATGCTGTAAAGGAATTTTATAGGACACCTAACTTGATTTTACTTAAAATGTAGTTTTATCATTAGCTTAATATTAGTTTTTACATTCATGTAAGTAAACTTACGAGGTCTGCTTAAAGAAATTAAAAGTTTTTAGAAATAGTCTTAATTTCAGGTAATTTTACTGTGAATATATTTTATAGTACTTGTGCCAGACTTGAATGCCATCACAGCAGAGACTTTTAAAGACCACTAATGTAGTCTAATCTGTACTTTTCTTGGGTATAAAATGATTGTCACAATCAGACCATTATTGTAATATTCTGACATCATTCCTGAGATGTCCTGTTATGTGAAATAAAAAAGATAATGACAGTTATTCTAATGATCAGGGTATAATACAGGCGTAATAGGGTATCTCTATTGACCTTTTATAGCTCTCGACCCTTTTCATGAGACTGACATCAGTCACCGTTCTTACCTTTCTCTTTTGCTAACAGGGATGCGAGCTTATTTCAACACCTGATCAGGACCATACCGACTTTACCAAGTGCCTTGAGGTGCTCCAGAGGAAGATAGAAGAGAAAGACCTACAGGTATGATGCGCAGCTATTCGTTGATTGCGTTTTATTACCACGGGTGTGAACGACCCTGGTTAAAGTTTTCAGTCGTCTAAAATTTTATTTACTTTTTAAAATAAGAAATCATTATTTACTTTTGTGCTGAGTTTTTAGATTCCCTGTCAGGCTTTGTCAGCATATCGAATACATCTGTTCTTAGCTGCCAGAATATTAACGTATGCACTTAAATCAGAGGTTACAGATTCACACACCTGGCAGTGGTCGCAGAGGGGCGAAGTGGACGGTATATTAAGTCATCAAAACAGGCAGCTCATTTTTAGCCTAAAATGAGAAACTGCTTTCATCTCTGGTTGATTTTCGCCATGCAGAGCTGTGTGTTTTCTTTCTATATGTGTGTTTAAATATTGTGTGCTCAAAGCAAACAAATGTGGCCTAGGTTTGGCCCATGGATCATTATTGCAAAATCTTATATAAGCAAATAAAATATTATCAACTTTTCTTTTTTAATCAGAGAAGAGTCTGCTGCTTTTCATTTGTGGACTATTTAAGGTATTCAGTAATGATTTTCACCTAGCATCTAAGTGTTTAATCCCATTAATTAGCTAACACATGAGTTTGTATTTTATTGTATTGTACACTATTTCTTGGTACTTGTTGAAATGGTATGCAGAATTTTTTAAGTCTGTGTTTAGTGACAGTCAGCAAAATTAAGCCTGAAGCATTGAATGACATCCGACCGTTATTTTCCAGGCAGGGACAAGAAGTTAAGCTGAGGTGCATGGTCAAATGTGTAATTTTAAACTAAGAAAACTAGGGAAACACACCTGTACGTTAGAGCATTCGGATAGAACCAGTGATAGGAGATGATCTCAGCCTGGCCTCAGCAGTCAGGTGAGGCAGGGCAGTCTTCAGACATGGCCCAGTCAGGTCTGTATCTGCTTCGTTGCGGCCTTTGCTCTGCTCCACGGGCTCTGTCATCAGTCTGGCTTCGCCGAGCGTCTCCAACAGCCACCTGTAGCAACTGTTTACCCTTTTTCATCCAGGGGGCTTCCAGGGGTAGGGACAGGACAGCCATTAGGCCGCTCTTGGTTTTGGCAAAGGAGGAGGAAAGTGTCTGGATTGTCTTGGACTGGAGCAGGGAGTGGCATTTGTTTACTGACCTCACATAGTCAGACCACATGGTGGCGGGCTGCAACGCTTGTTGGACAGGCAGCCCTAATGAAAACCGAGCCCCTCACAAGAGCTCCTCAAGGACTCATTCTAGCATGTCTTTACCAAGCTGAGGCAGTAGATCCTTTTCTCCCTTTGAAGAAAAGCCATGTTGACTATCATAACTGATAAGTAGCTCATTGTGCAAACTCAACAATAGTAATTAAGTGAACACTTCACATCACCGTTGTAGTTTGAACTATATACCAAATATATTGTGCTATTTCCAGCAATAAATCGCTATAATTAAATATTTGTTTAATAAAAACAGAGCATAGTCTATTGAGAGTTATCTACTTCATCCAGATATAGCTGATATTTTTTAGTTTCTTAGAAGAAAAAATGTAAATCTTCACAACTGGATTTCAGTTCCCCCAGAGCTTGCACTGAAGTTGTTGAAAATGGGAATGCCATTATGAGACTCATTTGTTGTGTCTGATAGTATCCATAATACAGTGTTTAGTCACTGAATCTCAAAACAAACAATCATGTCTCAAAATCAAGACCAAAATCCAGAGAGAGCCTCACACTGGAGAGGAGGGTAATCGGGGGTGTCTGACCTGCCAAACAAATCTGACAGTCTTGACCAATCCACTGGGGAGGCCTGCAGCAAGAGGACCTGATAGAGGACTCCTGCATTGGAGAGAAAGGGCCCAGCTCCCTCCGTGCTTAGTCACAGACTGGAGGCTGCCAGGAGTCACAGGCCATGTGGCCTTGGTGGCATGTCGCGCTGCTTCCTGACGGGGTGGCAGCTGGGTCATCATAGCCAAGTGCCGTCCTCACAACTAGTGATGAGTTCTTTCTGGGGACCGCTGAGGGGTGCGCCTCCGTGGCTGCCGCTGGCCCCCGCCGTGCTTTGGGCCCAGCGCATTCTCCAGCCTCATCTTGTACAACTCTCTCTCTCTCTCTTCCTAAAATGAGTCTTATTCTCTCCTCCCCCACCTTAAGGTGCATTCGTGCATGTTGCCCCCTCTGCGTAGAAGTTTTGGGATGTTTCTTGTGTTTTTCCCTGTCTTTGCCTGGCCCACAGTGGCAGAGTGTGCCTCCCACCTTGTGGAGGACTTCCCTCACCATCCCTGTCGCTTAGGTTCCGCTACCCCACGTTTCCGTGCCCTCCTCCCTTTTTCCTTCCATAAGGCACTCTGACCATTTGTAGTAATTTCGTTACTTGTTTCTCACTGTTTGCTTGGAGCCTGTCTCTCTTCCCAGCCTGGCTGTACAGCCCGTGCAGCTGGCATCAGGCTTGTCTTGTTCAGGATCGAACAGTAGCACTGGGCGCCACGTTGGGCCTGTGTTGCCACTGTGGGAACGCACAGGGCAGTAGCACAGCCAGGGGAAGGCTTTCTCGAGAGGCCAAAGCATATAAACAAATAGGAGTTAGGTGGCAGCGGAGAGAAGAGTGTTCAAGCGGAAGAGCCTCAGCCCAGAGAGGATGGGTGGCGCTCCGCGAGCTCCCGCAGGTGTCTCAGGAAGCGGAGCATCTTCCGCTTCCACCTGACTTAACGTTTAACCTGGAAGTCCAAGGTTGCATCTGATGTAGTGTAACGCAAAAGAAAAGCAGGATTACAAAGTACAGAGGAAAATAATATGAGATTCTTCCCCATGCATCCTCCTAACGTCATGAGATTATCGTGGGGGCTTTTAAAAACGTCTTCCTAAATTATGCAGAAACTGTATCCAAATATCCTTTATCCTTATCCACATAAAAAATCTGATCAAAGTATCATATATTTCCACTTGTTATAAATATGAATTTGTAGCCAAATGTCTATATTTTATAGTAAGATCTGATCTTATCATGTACTTAAAAATGTTAGTTATAACAAATTGAATTAAAGTAGTATTTAATATGTTAAGGAATAATACAGTGTAACATATTAGAACTTTATAGGATTTGGATTAGGATCCATCCTTATCCTGGAGGAGTTTGCTCTCCAGCACATGACATCAATGGAAAAAAAAAAAAAAAGATTTTCCTAAATTACCTCGTTTATTTATTTATCTATTTTAAAGTTGCTCACACTCAACTTTTCTTCTGCAGAAGGATTCTCTGACACATGACTCTGTAACACTTTGCATTTATGCTACCACATAGTAGTTTATATGTAACTGAGTTATGAGTACACCCTCAGGATGCCATTCAATATGACTGAATCTTCGAGGAGCACATTTATTTTTTGATGCTGTGATGCATGTGAAACCTAAGCCCTGGGATAATGAAAAATGATAAAAGCTATTTCTCCAAGTTTCTAAAAATGTAAGGTGTCCATTGTTTAGGATGAGGCATAGATAAATCTAAATTATAAGGCCCTAAGAATAACAAGGTAGGTCTCTTTAGGATATTTTCTAGTACTTATGGCAATTGAATTAGTAACTTCAGTGTCTGATATTTTAGACACAAACTTTATATTTGACAAAATTTGGGCAGAAAAGTTGCTATTAATTTAAAACTGTATGTTTTAGGAATTTTAACTCATACTGGTTTCATTTGCTAAAACTTCAGTGCATTTTAGCCTCGTATACTATGTTATTTTTTAAGCAACTTTTTAATCAAATGATGCAGGATGTTAAGTACTATGAATGAGAGCAAATGCCTTAATTTTATTTATATGCACAAAAATATTAATGATGACAAATTATTACATAAAGACTATAGGATTATTACATATTATGTTTATTATATTCTTCTAATGGCCTAAGCAAATATCAAATTGCGACTTATATATTAGTTTATATGTATTTATGTCTGAATTATTCTGTTGACCATTAAGACTTTGATAGGGAATATTAGTCCTTCTATTTAATTCCTACGTGGCACTTCTCAGATATATTTCTGTATCTGCAAGTACAATGAGTTTTAAAATATTTATTTATATCCACTAATAACCAGTATTGGAGTTAGTTGTACATTGTTGTTTTGTAATGGATTGGTGGCTTCGTTTTATGTTCATAGTAAATATCTGTTGCTCCTCACTTGAAAATCAAATTCACAACTGACTCTACTAGACTAGAGTAATTACTAACTACTCAGTATAACAAGATCTGGCTCACAGGGCTGCGGGGTCACCACATTGGTGCCCTGAGAGGTGTCTTCAGTACAGCCTGCTCTGGTGAGCTGGCGTCTTAGGCAAGATTCAACCTCATTCAAAGAAAAATGTAATAAGTTCATCGCGCGGATAAACCTGCATTCTGGAAAGGGAAGAATGCTAACTTCACAGTAGAGAAACCTGGCAGATTCCACCTTAATGAAGTCATCAAAATCTGCGCCGTCAGTGCTAATTCATGAATTACCACCGAAAAGAGTACCTGCGGAGTTCTTCCCTAAAACCCTTGACTCCAGTTCAATCGTCCAAAAGTCAGGAAACCCACATTAAAGATCATTCCACGGAATAACCTGACCAATATTTTCAGGGCCATGAAAAACAAGGAACGACTGAGAAACTATCACCAGAGGAGATGAAAGGGACATGAAAAGTAAATGCAGTGTGTATTCTGATTTTTATCCTGAAATGGAAAACGGACATCAGTGGAAAAATTGGCGAAATGTCAGTGGAGTCTGGAGTTTCGTTAATAGTAGTGTACCAGAGTCAATCTTTTAAAAAAATTATTTCTCATTTACAGTTGGCATACAATGTTGTATAGTTTCAGGGGTACAACATGGTGGTTAGACATTTATGTACCTTACAAAGTGATCACCACGATAAGTCTAGTACCCATCTGACAGCATACGGAGTAATCACGGTATTATCCACTGTATTTCCTATGTCGGACTTTACATCCCCAGGACTATGTTTATATCTGGCAAT